GCCACCATGTGGTTGCTGGGAATTGAACTCTGGACCTTTGGAAGTGGAGCCAGTGCTCTTAACCTCTGAGCCATTTCTCCAGCCCCACAACTTTTTTTTAACTTAAGATTTTATTTATTTACTATGTATGTATACAGTGTTCTGCACTGCATGTATGCTTACACATGTGGTCTGTCTGCAGAAGAGGCATCAGACCTCACTACAGATGCTGTGAGCCACCTTGTAGTTGCTGGGAATTGAACTCAGGACCTCTGGAAGAACAGGCAGTGCTCTCTAAAGGACCTCTGAGCCATCTCTCCAGTCCACTGATAACTTTTAATTGTATCTATTTTCTTTCTTTTAAAAAGTTTAGAATTTTTAAAAAGTTTGTGAATGGATGTTCTGCCTATATGTGTGTCTGTGCCGTGTAGTGTCTGAGGACATCCAAAGAGGGCGTCATCGTCCCTGGAACTGGTGTTACATACAGAAGGTGGTGCACTGCAGTGGTGCGCTGGGACTTAGCACTGCAGAGCCATCTCTCCAGCCCTGTGCTTACTTTATGACAACTCAGTCTCAATATAAATAAAATTAACTGTAAAAAAGGAATCTCCTCTCCCTTCCTCTCCCCTTTCCTCTCTTGTTCCTCCATTTTCCCTCTCTTCCCCTTCCTCCATCCTCTTCTCCCCCCTTTCCTTCCCCGTCACTCTCCTCTCCTTTCCTCTCTTCTGTCTATAAAGTCTTCAAGTTGTAGCACAGGCACTAAAACGTTGTGTTTGACCACGCGCACGCCTTTAATCCCAGCCCTTGGGAGGCGGAGGCAGGCGGATCTCAGTTTGTGGCCAGCCAGGTCTGTGTGTCTAGGCCATTCAGGGCTACATAATGAGACCCTGTCTTAAAAACAAACAAAAAATGTGCTTGTTTGCTTGGAAGTCACATAATTTTGGCATTTTTGAAAGACCACTGAAGACCATTTTCTGTTGAAGGACAAAAATGATGAAGCTTTTCCAGCACAGGGTTTCTCAGCTGGGTGCTGCTGGCATTTCAGACAGGACAATTCTTTCTTGTGCACTGCAGGACATTTAGTTTCCCTGACTCCTGCCCACTAAAATACCAGTATTGCCTACCCCACACCCCCAACATTGTCATAAAAACCCTTCCTTGACAAGATGCCCAGCCTCCCACAGGCAGAGATTTTCACATGCCTCTCTGAGAAAACAGTGAGACTCTACCTGTAGTAGTATTTGTATGAAGCAGGTCAAGCATTACCAATTTTCATGTTTTGTGTGAGCATTTGCTCAGTGAAGAATGCTTTTCTAGCATGTACAAGACTCTAAGTTCCTCAAGGCCAGCCTGGTCTACAAGAGCTAGTTCCAGGACAGGCTCCAAAGCTACAGAAGAACCCTGTCTTGAAAAAACCAAAACACAAAGGCTCTAGGTTCCATCCCTAGCAATAAAAATAAAATCCAAGTTGTTACAAATATAAAATTACTCATACTTATCCATTGAAAAAGGTTTCTACATAGTGCTAAAATTCATGTTTTTCTTCCTTTTTTATTTATTTATTTTTGATTTTTAGAAACAGAGTTTTCTGTGTAGCCCTGGCTGTCCTGGAACTCACTTTGTAGGCCAGGCTGGCATCAAATTCACAGAGATCTTCCTGCCTCTGCCTCCCGAGTACTGGAATTAAAGGCGTGCACCACCACCACCACCCGGCCCTCCTTCTATTCTTATATAAGGTCTCATGTAACTCAGGATGCCCTCAAATTCACTATGTAACCAAGGATTCTTTGAATTTGTGATCCCTCTGCCTCCACTTCCCGGGTTCTGGGATTACAGGTTGTGTGCCACCACATCAGATGGTGTCAAAGGTTGAACCTAGGACTTTGTACGTACTATGTAAGCACTACTAACTGGGCCATAACCAGGCCCTAAAATGCATGGTTGTTTTTGTTTGTATTTCGGGACAGGGTTTCTCTGTGTAACAACAGTCCTAGCTGTCCTGGAACTAGCTCTTGTAGACTAGGCTGGCGAATGCCTCCTGAGTGCTGGGATTAAAGGCGTGTGCCACCACTGCCTGGCCAAAATGTTTATTTTTCTATTGTATCTTTTGGTAAATGTAAGTTATTTTAGTGGTCTGATCCTCTAAAAACTTAAAATTTGAGGGGTACTATAATTATCGAAAGGTAATATTCCAGGGCTGGTAGATGGTTCAGTCGTTAAGAGCACTGATTGCTCTTGTAGAAGACCTGGGTTCAATTCCCAGCACCTGCATGACAGTTCACAACCATCTGCTTCTAGTTCCATGGGATACGATGCTTCTTCTGGCCTCTGATGGCACCAGGCACTCATGTAGGCAAATGACTCATGAATTAAAAATAAATGCACACTTTTAAAAAGATGATATTCCATAAATGAGACCAAGACGAGTAATCGAGAGACAGAAAACATTTTAGTCTCACACATTTCAAATAGTATATATTGTCATTTTAAAATAAATCATTTTCAGATTTAAAACCTCAAGAGTGGCAGCTGGGCATGGTGGCACATGTCTAGACACAGACACGGTCAGATTTCTGTGAGTTCAAGATCAACCTGGTCTACTGTAATTGTAAAAATAAAACGCTGCACAGTTCCCCGAGGGGTGGCAGCAGACAGCGGCTCCCAGGCAGGGAGCCACACAGCGGGTGAGACACTTTGGCAGGTCAGCAGGTCCCATAAGGAGCTATGGCAGGTGAGAGACAAAGATGGATAGTCACTCCATGCAGAGAGGTTGGTTATGGAAGGGAAGGGGAAGGGGAGAGGGTAGGAGAAGGGGAATGAGGAGAGAGAGGCAGAGAGAGAGAAAGAAAAACAGAGGTATGGGGAAGAAGAGGAAAGCTACTCCTTAGGGAGAGAGGAAAGGAAGAGCTTTGCAGGGGGATTTGGGAGGAAGTGGGGGGCTTGTCTCTTGAAAGGACAGGACAGACCATTACATCTACAAACTGAGTTCCAGGACAATCATGACTGTTAAACGGAGAAACCCTGTCTTGAAAAAAACAAAAACAAGCAAAAAACTAACAAAAACATCTCAGTGTTTGGAAGGATTGGACTCCAAGTTGTCCCTTGACCTCCACAAGCTCACTATGGCTCAAATACCTGCTTCTCCTAATTAATAAATACGTATTTTAAAACAAAACAACCTTCCACCCAAACCCAGCGTGTAGTTTTATTTAATTTAATTTTTTAAAATCAGGATCTCACTATGTCTTCTTGGCTGTCTTGGAACTCACAATGTAGATCAGGCTGGTCTCAAATGCAAGTGGATCTCTTCCTGCCTCTGTCTCTTGAGTGATGGATTAAAGATACATGCGACTGTGCCTGGCAACTTTGAGTATTTCATTTATTAATTTGTGTGCATCTATGTGTGTGGTAGCGTATGTCTCAAGGCTGCTCTAAGGTAGAGGTCAGAGAAAAGCTTGCAGGAGTTGGTTCTCTCCTACCACCTCGTGAGTCACAAGAGATGGAATTCAGGTTGTCAGCAGGTGCCATTATTCTCTCTGCTGAGCCTGTCACCGGCCTTTGTGTTAGGTAGGATTGTGTGCTACTTCATGCTGTTCCTGACTTTTTTTTTTATTTTATTTATCTATTATGTATACAATATTCTGTCTGTGTGTATGGCCAGAAGAGGGCATTACGGATGGTTGTGAGCCACCATGTGGTTGCTGGGAATTGAACTCAGGACCTTTGGAAGAGCAGGCAATGCTCTTAACCTCTGAGCCATCTCTCCAGCCCCTGTTCCTGACTTTTATAGATAGTAAAAATTTGTCAGAAAGCCAGGTGTGGTGGTGCATGCCTTTAATCCCAGCACTTGGGAGGCAGAGACTGGTTTCTGAGTTCAAGGCCAGCCTGGTGTATGGAGCAAGTTCCAGGACAGCCAGAGCTACATAGAGAAACCCTTTTCTGAAAAAACAAGAACCAAACCAAACCAAAACAACAGTAAGAGATGGAGGAACTGAAGAGAAGGGTCAGTAGTTAGAACACTTACTGCTCTTACAGAGGACCCGACCTTGACTCACAGCACCCAGGGATTGCAGCACACAACTGCCTGTAACTCTGGCTCCAGGGGAATTCATGCCTACACTCACAAGCACAGACACATGTGTACATATAACTTCACAATGGACATGTACACTCCTACACCCCTCACAAATGTACATACATGTCATGCACATTTATATAATAACAATTAAAATGTAGTTATTTAGTGGCTGGCCATGAGGACAGAAGCCACAGGTTGGGCTGGAGGGGACTGTATGTTTTCCCATTCATCTTAGCTGCCTGGTGATTAATGATACTTTAGCATATAAGAGGGTCTCAAAACTAAATGTGTTTCCTATACATTCTTTTCTACTTTAAACCTATGACCTGTGTAAGTTAAACTCTTTTAAAAGTTCCCATAGTGCTTTTGTGACGTTAGTGTGGGAGAGAAATATTCTTTGGACCGAAATCGGGAGTGGAACAGCAGAATAGTGTGAGAATCTGCGGGCTTGGCTTATGTATTGGTTTGCTGTTTATTCGCTGGAGAGCCTTGTGTTTTCTTGGCCCACACATGCCAAATAACTTTCTTTTTTTTGCCAAATAACTCTTATGTTAGCAATAGACTTAAGAAAAAGGAAAAAGATTGAAAACTTTTATTTTTTAAAAAGTTTTAATCCAGGGCTTGAGAGGTGAATACTTTTAATCCCGATATTTAGGAGGCAAAGACAGGGGTATCTCTGTGAGTTGGAGGGCATCCTGGTCTACATAGAGACACCCTGTCTCAAATAATGAAAAACAAAACAAATTTAGAGTGTAGGAATATACAATACTAAGGAAAAGTATTTGTCAGATACCAAGGGACCCTGAGAGTCTCATTATAAATAATGATTTTATTTTAAAATTAAATTTATTCTTTTTTGAGAATAAAAGGGTCTTGTATTATTTGTATTGCACTATATTGAACTTTTAAAAATATGTATGTTGGACCCGCCCTTACCAAAGCCATGGAGGCAGTTCCCCCACTCTCCAAAGCTGAGTATCTGAAGTTACTTGTCTGGGGCACATGCCGGCCAGGAAGGAGGTTCTGAGTCCCTTCGGAAGAGCTACAAAAAAGGACCGAAGCCGGGAGGCACCGCTGGCAAGGGATTGCAGATTGTTGATGATGATGTGGGCTGGGCAGTTATCTCTACTGCTAAGCCGGAAAAGGAGGAGGAAGAGGATGGAGATTTGCCTGTGGTGGCTGAGTTTGTGGATGAGCGTCCAGAAGAGGTAAAGCAGATGGAGGCCTTCCGCTCCAGTGCCAAATGGAAGCTCCTGGGAGACCACAGTGGAGATGGACATACCATCATGATGAACCAGATCCAACTTCTCCTAGGAGGGCCCGTCATGACACCCCAAATCCGTCTCCTTCCAGGAGTACCGATCATAATACCCCAGATCCATCTCCTCCCAGGAGGGCTCATCTCTCTCCTCCTGAAAGGAATACCCATTCCAGAAAGAAGACTGTATTTCGAGACAAGTCTGATCGGAAGAGGAATTTGAAGCTGGAACGCCTGGAGCAGAGGAGAAAAGCAGAGAAGGACTCAGACAGAGATGAGCTCTATGCCCAGTGGGGCAAAGGGCTTGCTCAGAGCCGGCAACAGCCGCAGAATGTAGAGGATGCCATGAAGGAGATGCAGAAGCCTCTGGCCCGCTGTATCGGTGATGAAGATCTGGATCAGATGCTGAGAGAACAAGAAAGAGAGGGGGACCCGATGGCCGACTTCATTAAGAAGAATAAGCCTGAGGAGAACAAGCACAAGAAAGCGAGGCCTCGCTGTAATAGCCCTGCACCTCCTCCCAATAGATTCAGTATCTGGCCTGGCTACCGCTGGAATGGAGTGGACAGATCCAATGGCTTCGAACAGAAGCGCTTTGCCAGGCTCGCCAGCAAGAAGGCTGTGGAGGAGCTTGCCTACAAGTGGAGTGTGAAGGACATGTAGCTTCTCCGAGGCTGTGCGGTGCTGTGGTGGTGGTGGCCCAGGACAGCCCGACATCCAGCTCTAATGCTTGTCTTGCTAGACACAGACCAGCAACTCGCGGTCAGTTCTGCCCTTTGGACTAGGCACCTACCCTTGTCTGTGTCCATGTTGTCTGTTGACTGACTGACAGGGACTTCTCTATCCCAGGGCTTGTTCTTTGCCAGTGCTTTCTTTCTTATTTTAAAAATAAACACATATTTATTTTTTGTAAAAATAAAATAAAATAATAACTAAATAAAACTTGTATGTCTAAGATGTGCATGGTAGTGCACACCTTTAATCCCAGCACTGAGGAGGCAGAGGCAGGTGTATCTCTGTGAGTTCGAGGCCAGCCTGGTCTATAATTTCAATTCCAGGACAGCCAAGACTATGCAGAGAAACCCAGGCCCCCTAGAGACTATCTTTGCAGAGGATCTGTGTGTATCCTTTGTGGGTGAACGTGAGAAAAGAGCTTCTCATTCAGCCGTTTTCCAGCAGGGTACCCCGATGGCTGTGTTCTCAGATACTCTCATATGGAATTTGCTCTGTTATACCTTGGCGCTCTCAGTGGGTGGTGTCTTGTTTCCTGTTGTGCTAGTTCAAAGTCTGAAGTGTCTCCATAATGGTGCTAGCCTTTAACTTACAGCTACTTTGTCTCCACCTGCCCATTCTCATGTGAACTGGGTTCAGGTTCCTTTCCTTACTAAGATGCACAGTCTGTCCATAACTTTGACAGGGTTCACACCCTTTTTTGTTTTGTTTTGTTCTTTTGCTAATATGTACATTTTTCTCATCTTTTCCCTTTCTCTCTCTCTCTCTCTCTCTCTCTCTCGCTCTCTCTTTCTCTCTCTCTCGCTCTCTCGCTCTCTCTCTTGCTCTCTCTGGGTAAATACTGTAAGCAATAACCATGGCATGGCTACTTTTTTGTATTGTCTTGAAATTTCCTCCTTGAACTTAGCCCCCCCCCCCCCCGCTGCCGCCGCCTTTTTTCCCCCTTGAAACAGGGTTTCTTAGTGTAGTCCTGGATGTCCTGGAACTCACTTATAGACCAGACTGGCCTCAAACTCACAAAGATCCTCCTGCCTCTGCCTTCCAAGGGCTGGGATTAAAGGCATGCACCACCACTACTCACCATTAGCCCATTGATTTTTAAATTCAGTCTCACTTCAGCTTTCAGGATATGATCAAAAGCAAGAACTAGATTCTTTGCCAAAATAGAATGTGAATGGCCTCTAGCTCAATTTTCAGCACAGTCCTTCTCTCTGAATCCTCACAGAGAGGAAGGGAGGAGGAAGACAAAGAGAGACAAAGAGAAGAAAGAGAGAAGACAGAGGAGAGAGAGAGAGAGAGAGAGAGAGAAAGAAAAGAGAGAGGAGAGAATAGAGAAAGAGAATGAAGCCGGGCGGTGGTGGCGCACGCCTTTAATCCCAGCACTTGGGAGGCAGAGGCAGGTGGATCTCTGTGAGTTCGAGACCAGCCTGGTCTACAAGAGCTAGTTCCAGGACAGGCTCCAAAACCACAGAGAAACCCTGTCTCGAAAAACAAAACAAAAAAAAAAAGAGAGAGAGAGAGAGAGAGAGAAAGAGAATGAAAGAAACCCAGGCTGATCTCAGACTTCAGATTTTCCTGCCTCAGCCTCTGGAGTGCTGAAATAATATCTGTGTTCCACCACACCAAGCTCAAACATTTTTCAAGAGGGAATAGAAAAGTTTTGGGGTTTGTTTTCAGTAACACAATGTCTTAGGGTTTCCATTGCTTTCAGCGAAATGCCAGGAGCAAACACCAAGTTGGGGAGGAAAGGGTTTTCAGCTTATGTTTCCACATTGCTTTGTTCGGCATGAAAAGAAGCCAGGACGGGAAGGAACTCTAGCAGGTCAGGAACCTGGATGTAGAAGCTGAGGAAGAGGCCATGAAGGAGTGCTGCATACTGGTTTGCTCCTTATGGCTTACCCAACCTCCTTTCTTATAAAACCCAGGACCACCAGCCCATGGATGGAGCCACCCACAATGGGCTGGACCCACCCCCATCAATAACTAGTTAAGAAAATGCCTTACAGCTGGATCTTATGGGGGTTTCTTCTCAGTTAAGGTTCCCTCCTTTCAGATAACTGTGGTTGGGTGTATCAGGTTGATATACGACTAGCCAGTACACACAATTAGCCAGTTATAGGGGCACTATTCATAATCCCAGCACTAAAGAGGTTAAGAAAATGTGGGCCATGTATTCAAGGTTAGCCTGAGCTACATAGCAAGCATGTCTCAAACAGACAAACAAAAGAAGGCCTCCGTCACTTGGGCAGGCATGGGCCACGTGAGATCTGTCTTCAAAATTAATAAAATAAAAAAGAGCCAGGTGTGTTTTGCATGCATGCTTGTAATCTAAACTCTTAGGAGGTAGAGGCAGGAGGTTCAGAATTTCAAGGCCAGTGCCAGAGCATGTTTGATGCCAGTCCAGTAGTACAGGAGAAGATGTTTTAAGGGGGTAAAAAAGGAAATATACACAGTATATTCTATATTTAACATAATAATAAGTCTTATGGTCTTCAAAGAATTCAAGTTCAAATCCTTGCTCCCTATCTTGTAGTTATATGCACCAAAATATATTTAACCTTGTTTCATCTCCAGTCCTCTGTAAAGTAGAAACAAAAATGGTGGTTATATTTACTATACACATAGCATATAGCCATTAGTTAACTTAAGTCATATGATTATTGATTAGACAAACATTAAACATTCCATTCTTGTCACAACAATTGCCTATTTTTTATAGTGTTTATAGTGAATGTCTAGAATCAAGAGTCAGAAAGACACTGTGATGCTTGATTTTAATTACCAAACTCGAATGGGTTATAAATTGCCCAGAGAACCACAGGAGCACACTTTTGGGTGTGTGTAAATCTTCCAGAGCAGATTAACTGGTGGGTAGGAACACTGACTGGCCCTGAATATAGGCGGTACTGACATGTGAACGAGCATCCTCGCATTCCCGCCACCGTGGAACCACTGGGCACCAAGCCTTCCTGTGATGGTGGACAGTGTTCCCTCTAGTGCAGTGCTTAAAAAGAGTTATTTCCATTGTCTCTGATGGTTCAGCAGTGAAGTGAGCTTATTCTACAGAGGACCCAGCTTCAGTTCCCAGCGTGCATATGACCGCTTACAGCCACTGTTATGCCCAAGTTTATTATCCCCGAAAGGAAACTGGATTCTGACAGATTCTGATGTAAAGCACAAGAGGGTTTTTTAATATTCAAACTTGAGTTTGAACTATACCTCTACCACACCAATGCAGTGGGTGAGGGAAGTGCAGCCTGAACCCGGGAAGGGGGGAACTCTTAAAGGGGAAATGCCATAGTAAGGGGCATTCATGTCCTGTCATCCTGGGATTGGGTAAGGAGGGCATAGGGCAAGGTAGTCTCTGAAACCATTGGTCAGGTTTTGGGCACGAAAACCCTAACAAAGAGCCATTAATAACTGACAAGGTATCTTCAAGGGCAGGCTGCCTCCTAGGAACATCTGATCCTCGTTAAGGTTTATGTCCCTGCTCCCTAGCTCCTTAATTGGCTATTTTCAGGGTATCCATCCAAACTGTGCTATCGCAGCACATATCTGAGCTGAGATCCCCCCTCATTATATGGCTTAAGATGATGCCCCCTCTTTAAAATGGAGTCTGCAAAGTCAGGTCCTCACACCACCATTAACTCCAGTTAGGGGATCCAAAGCCTTCTTCTAGACTTCACAGACACCAGACGTGCAAGTAATGCACAGACATACATCCAAGCGAAACACTCAAACATGTAAAGAAAACATCCTGAAACAAGACAGTTCTACTTTTCCTCCTGTTGAGGACTGTTTGCTTTTGGAATAAATAAGAATCACTGTGGAGCCTGTTAAAATCTCCAGGCCTCCTCCAAAGAGATTCTGATGCTCCAGGTCAAGTAGAAGATGAGAACTATGGGTTTTAGACATCTCTGGTTTTATTTTTGAGGTACAGGCTCTCTCTGTGTAGCTTATAGACTGGCTTCTGCTATAAGGCTTTTTCTTGCTTAACATCCCAAATGCTGGGTTTACATGTGTACACCACCATGCCTGGCCTTCTCGGGTAATTCTTTGTTTTTGTGTTTTTGTTTATTTGTGTCTGAGACAGGTGTAGACCTGGATGGCAGTAATTCACTGTATAGACCAGGCTAACCTGGAATTTGTGACTGTCTACCTGTCTCCAACCCTGAGATATCAGGCTTTGTTTTCCTCTGTGACTCTCTAGCTGATTTTTATTAAAATAACAGACAAAATACTCTCCCTCACTTTGTGGGCTCCATGTCACACTTGGTTAATAAATAGCTTTTACTGGGCAGGTGAGCTGCTTCAGAGGTAAAGGCACGTGTGGTCAAGCCCAGAAACCTGGGTTTGATTTCTGGGACCCACATGGCAGAGTGAGAGGACCGAGGCCCAGATTCTTCTGACCTCCACATGTGCACTGTGGCTCCAGTGTCTGCCCCCAGCCCAATAAATAAGAATGTGTCGAACAAAATAGCTTCTCCGAAAACTGAAAAATAAATATCACAGAACACAAATTAAGAAAGCAAAACAAAACCCATTTATTTACTTTGCTTTTTTTTTTTTTTTTTTTTTTTTTGAGACAGGATCTTACTATGTAGCTCTGGCTGTCCTGGAACTCACTCTGTAGACTACGCTGTACTCAAACTCATAGAGATCCACCTGCCTCTGCCTTCTGAGTGTGCCACCACTGCCCGGTTTATTCATTTACTTCTTGTATTTTCACTTTTTTTGTCTATGTTTCTCTAGATTTAAAATGGATGATTACTTGGCGAACACTTCAGGTTGTAAAATTTAATATTTCGTTTTTGTAACCTTAAATTTTTGGTATGGTACTTTTTTTTTTAAGACAGGATTTCGATGCCACTTTTTTTTTTAAAGTATTTATGTACATTGGTGTTTGACCTGCATGTATGTCAGTGTGAGGGTGTCCAATCCCATGGAACAGGTGTTACGGACATTTGTGATTGACATGTGGGTGCTTGGAATCGAACCTGGGTCCTCTGGAAAAGCATCCATTGCTGTTACCCACTGAACCATCTCTTTAGCCCCCTGATGCCAC